GTCTGCCTTGGGAAAGCTAGCGTGTCTCCGACATAGTGATAACACTCGTTGCCTTCTCTAGTGCAGCTCAACCAGGTTTCGTCCCATTTGTCGGTATTTGTGATATCACAAATCCCGGAAAATATGCATTGTAGTCCAAACGAGTCGTTCGTTGTAGTTTTTGAAAAATTTCTGTTAAATAAAATATCTCCTTTTGAAGTGGACTTTGAGCTTTGTAACTTTGCAGATCTTTTTTTATGCTCAAACAGCAACATTGCAGACTAACTAAAGTTGAAAAAGTGAAAAAGCATAATAGGACCCCTTTAATGCATTTAAAAAAATACATCATCCAAAAATTACAAATTGCTGAAAAGTGACTCACCTCCAAGATGTAGATGAGTTTGTTTAGATGAGTTTGTGTAGATGAGATTTGGAGAAATTTAGTATTACTTCACTTGCTCAGCAGTGGATCCTCTGCAGTGAATGGGTGCCATCAGAATGAGAGCCCAAACAGCTGATAAAAACATCACAATAAACCACAAGTAATCCACACAACTTCAGTTCATCAATTAATGTCTTGTGAAGCAAAAAATTCATCAAGAGATTTTTAGCTTCAAACCATCACTTCCGGCTAAAATATGAGTCTTCTATCCATTATTCTTTCCCCAGTGAAAAAGTCGTCTCGTCTGAATCAGGAGAGAAATATGCACACATCAAGTACCGTTTACAAGAGAAAACAGTCCAAAACAGTTCTAAACAAATATTTTGGTGAATTCTAACATGAGAGTTCAATAGGGGATGGACTGTTTCACTGGAGGAAGCGTTATTATGGATTATGAACTAATATTTCGGCCAGAAGTTAAAATGCCTTACTGATGGATTTGTTTATTGATGTTAATTGATGGACTGGAGTAGTGATGATTACTTGTGGATTATTGTGTTGTTTTATCAGCTGTTTGGACTCTCATTCTGATGGCACCCATTCACTGCAGAGTTGGTGAGCAAATTTCTCTACATTTCATTGCTTTATTTCATCTGTTCTGATGAACAAACAAACTCATTTACATATTGGATGGCCTGAGGGTGAGTACATTTACAGCTAATTTTCATTTTTGGGTGAACTATTGCTTTAATCTTTTATGTATATTTAATTTCAAATAATGTAAGACAATAAATATGCTGTGTTTGTTCTTTCAGAGAACCAGAGGACAGTGAGGAAGAAGGAGAGGATCCAGCACTGGACAGTTTAAGTCAGGCAATTGCTTTCCAGGTCAGTGAATATTATATAATCTACAGTTCCGTCATCATACATTAATATTCCTAGTAAAAATTGGCTCAAAGAGAAATATACATTTTTGCCCATCATCATCATCAGCAAGCACGGATTGAGGAGGAGGAGAAGAGAAGGAAGCAGGTCACAGAGGATGTGTCTCAAGCATCTACATTAGAGGACACCCACAAACCCAGGATCAAAAAGAGTACCTACTTCAGTGACGAGGAGGAGCTCAGTGACTGACTCATACTTTTATGTGCTCGGAACACATCGCCTCTTCTCAACCGCTTTCACCTATTAAGAAGGTCACATATTGATCTAAATTTCTAATTTTGTCAAACTATGTTGCAGAAAGTCAGAAAAAAACTCTGCATACCTTGATCAGAGATGTTTGTTGTTATTTTATGCTCCTCATTCAGATAATTACACCTCCAAATATTGTATTTTTTTTAATCTTGTAAATATAGTTTAGTTTTGTGTATTTCACAATTACATTCTTGTTATTGTTCCAGGAAGCATGGAAAATAAACTGTTTTAAGTGTAACTTCCTGTCACCTTTGTCCTCAGCTCTCATTTTTTCACCCACTGATATGTCGAAGTTATGAAGGTTCAGTATAAAAGTGTTTGCATTCTCAGTGAGGCAAACCTAAAAAATTACAGTATATTTGAAAAAAATTATATATATATATATATATATATATATATATTGCTTCATATCATTAGCAAATGCATGTGTGAAATTTATGATTTCTACAATACAAAAACAATTTTGTAAAATAAGATTGTGTCCTGTCCCAAGTGAAAGAGCTTGTTTTTCTTGACTATCAAATGATTAAAATCATACAACGATTGATCTATTGAATTGACATTGCTTTTTGTAGTAAAACCTACCAAGTGCATCAGTCAATCTCAACAATTCAGCTGTTATACAAGTTATTATTAGAAAAAAATCTAGCAAATATTATTATTGACGTGGAAAAATGGGAAATATAGGTTTCCATCAACAATATTTGGTCCCAAACTAGCTAGTTCCTATTGTGTAACAGCTAAATGTAGGCTGAAATTGCAACCCTGTTAACCATTCTGTTTTGTTTCTTTATTTTGTATTGTTAGTTTATTTTATAAATAGTCTATTTATGTTTTGTTTGTTGTTAGAAAATAGCAAACAAAACAATCACACAAATCAAGGCATTCAGACCCCACGTTTGGTAACATTATGGAAAACCATGCCAACTCTTACGCATTCAACGTGAGACTCACGCAGTTGACACTGTTCTCACGCCACACGTCCATTTTCTCAAGCAGTGAAAAGCACCCTCAGTTGAAAATGTAATAACAGGATATATATATATATATATCAACCCCAAATTAATAGAAAATAAAACAGCTCATTTAAAAAGTTTTCAGACCATTTGCTGAAACAGAAAAACACTTAACATTTTAGAGTTTAGTGCAAAGTGCCAGGAACGAGTGTCTTTAATTTAAGAGGGGTGCAGTTACCTCACTCGCATTCGCTCTGCGCCCAGTTGATTTGGGGTGAAGCGGGAGCACGACTCTTTCATATAAACCCCACGACCCTCCTTTAGAGAAAATAAATCGGCGCTGGATTGGTCGAGCAGGGTCACGTGACGGCGCTGCGCTGAGTTTCTACGACAGCTGGGAGCCGCGCGAGAGGCGGCTGTGCCTGCGACGCTTCGCACAAAGTTTCTGAAGCATGGGAGACAAGAGGAGTCCGACGAGGTAAAAACAAACAGAAAGAAACTCCCACAGCCGGTGGCTTCAAGAAACTCGAGACCGTCTCAGGCCTTGAAACAGACCATTAGGCAGCGCGCGTGAATGAGAAAGACGCAACAGAGTGGCCACCATGGCGGACTGGCTGTTTTATCAACCTAAAGTGTAATTTCATTAAAGAACGCGTCGCTTGCGCAGGCGTCCGGCTGACGTTGTGCATGGATAGGATCAGATATGTGTGTCGGAGATTTCTACAGTCCGAGATGTGATGTACTCTCTGTTTGTTTTGCTTTTTGAAGGCCGAAACGGCAAGCGAAGCCCTTCTCCGACGACGGTTACTGGGACTGCAGCGTGTGTACATTCAAGAACAGCGCCGAAGCGTTCAAATGCATGATGTGCGATGTCAGGAAGGGCACGTCAACGCGGTGAGTGCCACACGATGTCTGAATGCGAGCTGCTGCTTCAAATCTAAGGAACTGCCTGCCTACACCGCATATTTGGACTTAATTCGATACCCCAGAATGCTGTCTAGATAGTCAGCTCATTAGGTTTTGAGACAGCCTTTTGCCTTGTGTGTATTAATAATTACACAGTTAATTCAATGTTTATAACCTCAGGAACAAATGTGAGCAGTCAGTGTCACGTTACTAAACAGCTCTGTTTGTAAAACATCCATTATACCCTGATTAAAGCAGGTTATTTCAGAAGTAATTGGGGTTTAATTTCAGTTCATTATGTAATTATAGTACATTAGCTGGGTATGACACAACATATGAGCAAATCTCTATAATGCCATACTTTTTTTCTATTAGCAATCAAAAAAAAAAGTCAATAAATTGGCTTGTAAATGTATATTTAGCCTAATTCTAATGCTTAAGTCATACATATTTTCATAATCACCACAATTTGCATGTCAAAAGGCAAATGTGGCATTAAAAATAGCATTTTGTAATGTCTTTCCTCTGTTTAGATGTAAAAGCATTTGGGGTGCACTGATAATACCGATAATATCTACTTGTGTTGTATACTGGAGGATAAATACTTTTGTGATGATAATGTTGTTTCTGAAGATGTGGTGACATTTACCATTGTTCGGTAAATTTTAACCGGTGTTTGAATTTTAACAGTCGAAATTGAGTCACATCAATAGGAATCAGTGGAATCTGGAATTTCGTGTGAGGGGGGTGAAAGATTTCCCCACGCAATGAGTTTAAGTTGGTAGTAACTTTGGTGTGAGTTGTACTTTTTTTCACTACACTTTTGACAACAGTTGTTTTTTTGCCTGCAGAATTTCACAGAAATAGGGATGGAATGGAAAATAATACTCTTGAGTAATAAATTCAGAGGTTTTCGTGCTGTATATTGAAGGATAAATACTTATACTTGGTATAAGTATCATTGTTTAAAGTTTCTAAAGATATGGTCACATTTACTGTCATTTGGTGAATTTTAATATAAATAAGAATTGAAATTTTGCATGAGGGCGAAAGATTTCCTATGGATTTCGTCACGCGAATTTGCCGTGCTCACTAACAGAAAGCTGCTTGGTTTGAGCTTCGATGTAAGCTCTGCTTTTTTTTTTGCTACACTATGGACATTTTACCTGTGAAATTTCATCTGAAAATAGGGAAGAAATAAAAAATAATACTCTGTAGGGAAGAAACCTTGAAAGACAAACCAATTCATGTTTTTTATATTAATCATATAGAATGAGGGGTCCTACGCAATGCATGTTTTTTCGGAGCATCTATGGTCGGTATCAGCCAATACTCTGCTTGTATTGGTCTTACAGATAGCGTCTTTCCCATGGCAGCGATCCATGAGAGAGTGCTAATGACCTCATCAGAGAAGACATTTAATGGGCTCGTATTTTCTCACTTTCATCTCATCAGTCATAAAAATCCTGTTTTGGAACAGTCAGCGACTGAGTCGGCAGTCAGTTATTTCCCTAATGTCATTAAGATGAGATCAGGAAGTAAAACATTCCTCATCTGCGTTTCGGAACATAAACGCACACTAAAAGTAGATGAAGATGATGATGATGACAGACCTCAGCTCTCAACAACAGCACCAGATAACGATCATCTTTCTTTAGGGAGATTGTTTATAAAGGTTTAATTATCTTTCAAGTTTCAAATCCCATTACCACCGCTGAATCAAAGCATTATTACTGCAGTTATTTAAAGCTAACAAATGTTCATTGTCACTGCAAAAGTGTGTGTGAGAGGGCGGAGGATTTTTATGTGGGGGTGGGGTGCTGTCACTCGTCCAGGCCACCACAGCAGCTGGCGTCCAGACGGCCTGAACTCATTTGTATTCAATGGCTTAATCAAGAATGCCGTCATCAGAAGAGGCATCATCACATCAGGATACACACACATACACACACGGACACTCATGCCCATAAATAAAACCATGATTGCACATTGTCCTGTTATAATGCCTTGGAGATGGCCACAAATGATGGGTTTTAATGATGATGTCCTCTTGATGCGATTCTCACAGGTCGTTCATTTATGAAGAAAGGAGAGCTTCTTGACATGCAGCATGTAAAATTTTCTCCAGTTCTGCTTTTATGCTACTTTTAGCAAGCAGTTGTATGCGTAAACGCAAAGGATATACGTTGGTGCTAATTGCTGCTTTCAGCTTCATCATCTTCCTAAGCAGCCGTCAGATGTGAATGACAGTGTGTTCGTTTAGGTTGCGGTTGTGTGCAGCAGATAGCAAATTAATGTTTTATAAGGCTATGATTTAGCTGAGCCTGACTGATACGTGGCGAATGATATAAGGGTTTATTTAGAGCATGTTTGTTGGGCATCTCATCATATGTTTAATTTGGGTTAGTAGGACATGTTTTTAAGCAAAATGTTTTGAAAAATGTATTTTTCCATACAATGAACGTCAATAAGGGCCTGTGCTGTTTTGGACCCCATTGAATTACATTGTAAGGACAAAAAAAGGCAAAACAGGCTTCAAATATCTTCTTTTGTGTTCTGCAGAAAGTCATAAAGGTTTTGAACAACGGGAAGGTAAAAAAAATTGTCACGTTTTATTTGGGGGTAAATTATCCCTTTAAATCACACAATACAAGCTCCTAAGTGAATGGTTTTTTAATGTTGCTTCGACTCTGGCTATATTTGCTCTTGTTCGAAGAGTGATTTGTTTACCTAGTTGTTACCTTGCGCTGACAGACTGACATTTAATTGATGAAGCTGCAGAGCTTCTCGTTGAGCATTTCAGGCCATTCCCCTCGCTGACCCCCCGAACCTGCCGGCAAACCTCTAATTTCAGTGTACTGAAACATTTTGCCCCCCAGCGAAAGCATTCGCTCTGCAGGAGAGAGTATTATACCGTTCAATTACCACAAATGGAGAGAATGTCCCCTCTAGACCAAGCAGTTTTTTTCGTACTCAAGACCTCTCACAATGACAGATTGGAAAAAGGAAGGCTGTATTATGTTTTTTTTTTCCACGTTGGAGCTCTATTTGACTTGACACTAATGTATGTTTGTGCTGTCACAACCAGTTTAAGGTTGTCAGTTATAAATTGTTGGCATAACCTGTGCGCTCTATAGGGGTATCGCTGAGAGAACTGGACCCATCATCCTTCATTACTGTCAGTGTCGGTGAGGTGATGACAAACAGAGGATTTTGATTGCAAATAGGGATGCACCGAAATTTCGGCCACCGAAAATGGCATTTTCGGGGGTTTTCGTGCTCTGATAATAATAGCTTTGTAGAACTATACATAATTTGGATAATTACTAAAAAAAAAAAAAGGGTTATATCTTACTCTGTTGCATAGAACTGAATAAAAATAATATATTGATATTTAATCTTAATATATTTTCTGTCCAATTTTATTGCGTTACTTTCAATAAACGTGTTTTTTTTTTTATTCAGTATAATTAAAATTAAGTTAAATTAAATGGCATTTTCAGTGGTTTTCGTGCTCTGATAATAATAGCTTTGTAGAACTATACATTATTTGGATAATAACTAAAAAAAAAAGGGTTATATCTTATTCTGTTGCATAGAACTGAATAAAAATAATATATTGATATTTAATATTAATATATTTTCTGTCCAGTTTTATTGTTACTTTCAATAAACGTGTGGTTATTTTAAAAAAAAATTATTCAGTATAATTAAAATTAAGTTAAATTAAAAAGTATTTAAAAATTACTTTACATTATTTAATAAAATAATAAATAATTATTTAAAGCATTTTTTGTTTCAGTTTTCGGCCAAGTGCATCCAGAAAATTTCGGTTTTGGCCTAGAAATTTCATTTTGGTGCATCCCTAATTGCAAACATATTCTGCTGTCACAGTGATATTTTCTTGTTGCTGAACGATGCGATAAAACATGGTGGAGATGTGCAAAACCAACTAGTCAGTGGGTCTAAAGGAAGCCTTGAATAATTAGGCTGGTTCAGGGTTCACCTGACTCCATGCATTTTATAATTATAAGTATACAATGGCGGAAAAAAGTGCATTATTATATATAAATTATACAAAGGCTTTTACATGCTTATATAGTGTTAGTTGTTAGATGACTAGTCACTTGCTACAGTGTGGCATTTGAAAGAGTTGAGCAGCATGTGAAATCCTCTCTAATTGCGTGTGTGCAGAAACCCAGAGTGCTGCTCTGCGAGTTCTCGTCTCTTTGCCCAAAAAGGCGAAACTAATGCAGTCTGAGGAAGCATTCCCAGCATGCCTCTGCCAAATAAACAAAAAGCCACATAAAACATTCACATTATTCAGTAATTACAAGAGCCTGTTGTCATTTATTAGAGAAATGTTGCGTATAGTTTGCAAAAGCTCGCGAAGGCGCATGCCCGTCTCAAACAAGTTGACCTCATTTTGATTCAGACAGTTATGGGCCTTTGATGAAAGGAGAGAAAGCTGGATACTAAAGCGAGGGAGAAGCAGTGTGGGATTTTGAAAAGCAGTTAAAAGGAAATGCAAACATTTGGAAAGAACCGAAAACAGAGTGTGGAGAGGTGGGACAGTGGGAGGCAGAGTGCCATCTGTCAAACAGGGGGCTTGGCAGTGGAGCGAAAGGAGGAGCAGTATGGAGACTGCATGTTCACACAGTGTAGCGCATTAATCATGGTGTCCCCTCCCATCACTCAAGCCCACGAGTACACAAGCCTCCCCGGTACAATCATTACGCCATTATACAAACATGCAGATATGAACACATCTGAGAGACTCTTGGATCAGAGGAGAGAACACAGCCCTCGTGTCCTTCTGATTTAACACAGTAATGTGGGAAAAATTTGTTTTGTGTGTGTGTACTTCTGTAAAAAGACGCCTTTGTAGACACATTCGGTAACTGGGTTTGATGTAATAGCTGGCATTGATGTGATTTTATGAAGAAATTCAATACATCTGCTTTATTTAACAAGGAAACTGACAAAAAAAAATTAGGTAAGAGAGGCTAAGTTATATTGTGAGAGCCTTCAGTGACTTTTTGCTAAGAATACGCAATATATATTGGTACCACATTCGTAATCGGTTGATATGATAGATTTTTTTATTTAAATATTGAAAAATTTTTAAATATTGGATATATATTGCCAATATTGGATATTAAATAATACATGCTAATTTCTTCTATTTTTACATTAAACACTAATTTAATATCACTGTAATCTTTTGCAAATCTCCAAATGAATATCCATTTTTCATAATTCACATTATTAGGTGCCTAATTCACTTGTAGCATTTAAATGATTTAAATTATGTTTTAGTTTTTGTTTTACAGAATAGTAAAAAAAATATATTAATTTGCCAATTGTAAGTTAGCAGCCACGTATATAATTAATTATTAGATTAGCGGTGCATCCCTTATTGATTGATTTTTATAAAATGGTTGATACATCCTAAAAATATAATTAGGACATTACATATTAAAGAAAATATAATCTCTCGATTGGTGCCATTGAGCAGTCAAAATATTTTTTTTGTTTTTGACTGATATGCGACATAGCTGTTATAGTTTCATGTCTCTCGTTTCACTCCATTGTCTCTTCTTTACTCACAAATAATTTGAACTTATTCCATTTTGTTCATTGAATTTTTTTTTGATAGTATTTATGTAATAAGCAGGATAATATACAGTCAGCGAGTCATTGTTGCAAAATTCTAATATTAACTGGCTTACATTGTCTTTTTGTATTATTGTAAGGGATAAATGTAAACTAATAGCACGGATTAAAGCATAGATGCAACGCGTATGCGTGAGACGGAGAGTGACTAATGACGGAGTAATTTCACAAAATCTCTCACCCTCATGACAAATGTTCAAAAATAAGCAGGATCAGCAACGTTAATGCCAATTTACTCCGTCAGGCACAGAGGAAATACATCACAAAGTGATCGATTGATTTACTCTGAATGGTGCGTCTAACAGCGCTGAGTGTGAAGGGTGTTAAGAGTCCACAGCAAGCAGCCAGGTCTTGACATGCAGCAGAGAGTGAGGCAGGCAGACAACTAACAGTAACAACAACTAATAATGGCCGTTTTCACTTGCCTTGGGCTTGGGATCAATGCTAATGACCGGTTCTTGGCTGCCATGCTTTAAGGCTCTAGATGTTCTAACTTCACAATGTGTAACTTCATTAGCTATTCCCAAAGCAACCGGGGGTTATGGATGAAAGCGTAAACATTGCACCAGTGCACAGATACTGAGAAGCTGTTTTTAAAATCACAGTGTGTGTGTGCGTGTTGGCAAAGCAGACGGCAGCGATGCTGGCCTTCATACTGCTCTGTTGTGGACTGGTTTTGGTATAACAGCTGTTGTTCTTGACATTACAGCAACGGTCACAGTGCATCCCTGTCGTTCTAAACGCAATGCTACTGATGGGACTTTACCCTGAGCTCTGATCTGAGATCAGTATGGTTAGCTCATAGGCCTAGATATAATCTGTAATTGCCGCAGCTGTCAGGTTGTTAATTAGGGGTGCAACAACTGATGTGTTGAAATGACAACAGCAAAACAGTATCCTACTAACAAACAATAGTAGGACAAGAAAGGCTGTTCTAGCAATTTCTGACCATTTACATCAATAGGTTCAATCTGGATCTGGTGTTTTAAATGGTATATTATTATTATTATTATTATTATTAATAATAATAATAAATTTTGTTTTTTGTTTGAGTAATTTATTTATTTATTTTGTTTCATTTTTATTGTTGGTCTAGGTTTTCTTTTTTTTTTTCTTTTTTTTTGGTATCTAAAATGGCCACAAATTTTGTTTTAGTTTTGGAATTACTAATTTATTTTAGGGTTTTTCCCTCTTATGTTTTATTTATTAGTTAACTAAAATGTTTTTTGTTTGTGTATTTGTTTTAAATTTTTTTTTTTTTATCTGATGCCAGTATTTTTCTATAATTTTTATATTGAAATTTTATGTTTTGACAGGGAGAACTAGTATATTAGGGGATATTAGCTTATATTAGGAAGTTAAATTACCAGTTTTTGTCTTCCTGCTGTAGAAAGGATAACAGAGTGAAATTGCGGCTGTTTCTCAACTGTTGAGAAAACACATTCTTCTCAGATTACGCTATGTAGGCAAGATTTCTCAACTAGCTTCAACACTTGCCTGTTTAAACTTGCTCTTTCCCACATAGTCCTTTTCATCAGGCTCTGGTGAGCTTGAATCATGTCATCCTGATTTAAAATATCTTGCTTTCTCGCCTCTCAGTCTTCCCTTTCCCCCCCCCCACAGGAAACCTCGTCCTGTCACACAGCAGTTTGCTTCACCCACACAACCCAAGAAAGAGAAAAAGGAGAAGACTGAGAAGGACAAGAACGAGAGAGAACCGACACTGAAAAAGAACAGCCACAAGAAAATGAGGTGAAATGAAAATGAGAAATGAGATGAAAATACGGTCCCTGTGTTCATAAATTTACTGCATAGTTCCTACTCCCCAAACAAATTAAGTGGCCGTCTTTTGCATTTTATATAGCAGGTAGCTCACTCTGGAAAATGTCATGTATTGTTGCTCTCCATTTGAAAACTATTTGAATATAAAATATATTTCACCTACTGCAGTGCACTGAGAATTATACAACACTTTTTGTCCCCTTTTAGTGACAAAGCTCATACAAATATTTGTAACAAATTGTACGCTTACACTACACGCCACTATACGCTTACTATGTATACTAATGAGATCTCCATCAATGAGAAACGGGCATTGATGCTTCCATGAAGCAATGTGAATTTAATAGATTTAAACTCACGAACTGTTATATATTTACACTATTGTTACAGAGTTTAGGGTCAGTATCATTTATCGCGATTAATCCCACCTAACAATAACGTTTTTTAATATAATTTTATATTGCAATAATTTCACATTCAATCTTCAATTAATGTAGAATCAACATACAGTATATTTTTTATATTTGTTTAATGGCATCTTTTTATGACTGAAGGTATCACTGATACCAATACTACTGATGTCTCTGAAATTTTTTTTTTCTTAGTATTTAACCAATGACTATAGCCATTCAACATTACAGTATAATTGAGAGATATCAATTTTAACATTTATTAGACTTTTAAAAAATAACTTCTGATTTAAATAAACTTAAATCAATATTCACATAAACCCATTATAATGTCATATTTACCTGTGCCCTACAGCAAGTAGAAAATTAAAAATGCAGAAATGTAATAACGTTATAAAACACTACATTTTTATTTAAATATAGATGAATCTTTAAAGCTACTAAAGTTATTATTTCCTCTTTTTTCTTTTGTTCTTTGATTAACAGACATAACAACAGCTGGGTTATTAGGTTATTTTGGCTGCTTTAAGAGCTGCCGCTGCTGAACATGATGTGGATCTGACATGCATTGTATTTTCTCACAACTCTTTACCTTTTCTGACCCACTTCAGCTCTTAAAGTGTCTACTAATGAGCTGATGAGTTGAATCGGGTGTGTTGTGCTGGGGTGCTTCAGGACAGTTTTGAAAACCACTGCATTTCAGAGACATGTTCTTAAATGTGACTCATATATAACAAATACTTGCATGCATGCATGGTTTTAAGGCAGCTTTAATGACTTAAGGTAACTTCATGACTTAACTGAATGACATAACTACGACATTGCATGCTCATAGTTTCTTTCGCGCTTTAATATGAAATGATACAGGCTACAGCGCGCACCGGCACATTTGTGCGTGCAATGGACTATATGCACGGAGCATTCTTTAGAACTTCCGCATAAAGATAAGCCAGCTTAGACAAACAAAACTTTTCTTCAAATTGTGAATGGATTGTGTAGAAAAACCGTGCAAAGGGTGCACAGCTGATTTTGACAATCGACCGGAAATGACTGAGCTAACTTATCTAAAACCAGGAAGTAACCGTGCATATAGTCAATTGAAGTTGAAGTGTGTGTCTGAAAAGTCTCCCGTTTGATGTGGTCATAAAGACATTCTGCATCTAAATAAATGCAATTCTCCTCAAGAAAAAAGAAGAAGATAGAAGCAGCAGTAGTTGAGAGTGGTGTGGGCAACCCTATCTCCGCCCCTGTGTAAATTGCTTTAAATATTTTTAACATGTTAAATTAAAAAAATTAATGGCCTGCGTTAACGTGCTTATTTTGACAGCACTATTCTAAACATTAATAATAATAAGAAATGTTTCTTGAGCACCAAATAAGCATATTAGAATGATTTCTTACGGAATTTGAAAACAAATTTGTTCAAATTTATGGTTACATATGTCAAAAGTCTTCAAATCAAAGTTTCTGATGTTCTGATTCATCTTTTAGATCATTGGTTTGGTTCATTGCCTCCCTGATTTTATTTAAATTGCCTATGGAAAAAATTATTGAGAAAATACTTGGAAAACCAAGGCCGCCGGGTTCACTTTTATGCTCTATTATACTAGCAATTCAAGTCAATTTTATTTATAATAAGCCAATTTACTCTAATACAGATTTAAAGTTTCAAAGCAGATTCACAGTAATAAACAGTTAAATTACAGTGTTAATGTTGCTAAATGCATCAATTATGAAACTATTTAAATTTCAGCTGTAATGCAGATCTACAGAAGACAATAGTATCTCAATTAGGGTTGTGACGGTGAGAATTTTCCCACCGGTTAATCAACGTGTGACAACATCGGTAATACTGGTATCACCGCGGGGGGCATTCCCTCTTTTCCTCGCTTTCCTTGGCTTTTAAATAGCTTGTAAAAGCGGTGTGCCCATTTTACTTTCACTTTGAAATAGCGGCAATTCGGCGTAAAGCAATTGTTCGTTTTTAGTTCGTTTGAATTAATCCTCTTTTCCTCGCT